CTACCTAGCTATCTCTAGCATCCACTAGCATTTCCTTGGCAAACATGTTGAGAGGAGGATCTTTACAGGCTTTTGGAGTGAAGCACATTAAGGTAATGGAGATTGGGAGGCGCATAGCCAGATGTGGGCACACCTTCCATTAGCTGGAGTTCTTGGCACACTCATCTCTTTAGTCTTGGGTCTACTCTTGTCTATTCTGCCTGCTCTCATCTGCTTTAGGTCTAGAAGCTCTCCAGGTTTTCATGTAGGCCTGCACAGTTCCCCAGATGTCCCAGTTTTCTCTTTGTTCTCACCTGCTTGGTTACAGGGGCATTGCCAGCAGGGTTCCTCCTTCTCTCTTCCCCTGGCTCCCCAGATCCATCTACTTGGAAGAAGCTCCATCTACTCCATTTACTCAACTCCAAAACGGAGTTTAGACTTGTTTTCCTTTTCTCTTCCAAGCCCATAAAACTCTCAGAAGGAAGTCTATCCTAGGGTAAAGGAAACAAAAACATGGTGGCTAAGGCAACTTTTCCTGTGGCTATGCTGATCTATTATTCCAAATCACTTCCAGTAGGTGGTGAGGCAGGGAACCGGGGAGGAGGGAAGCATGAGAAAAGCCCTATTATATTCAGCTTTCTCCCAAACTGGGGCCTGTGTTTTACCTGCTCCCACCTTCACCACTGTGTGACCTCTGGCCATGTATGAATGTTCTGCTGTCACCAAGGCTTTGGGACTCATCAAATGGGATCCCAGGTTCCTCTGTCCTATATCAAGATGGGGCTTCCTTTCCTTCCAGGTTTGTGTGTGTGAATGGAGATGCTCTGTTGTTCTCCAGTTAGATCTAGACCGAGGTTTTCCAGTCACTTATTTCCCATTATATTACTATAAATAAGGAGCCCCTCATTTAGCCAGGATAGACACAGGTCTGAGTGCTGTGATGCCTCCCTCTCCCTGAAAACATCTTTCTGGGTTTTTTTTTGAATGTTTCACTGCACAACTGTAAACATCCGGCAATAAGTGAGGGCTTTTGACAGTCACTATATCTTGGCCCTGACTTAGTTTCAGTTTAGCCCATGGAACCTGCAGCCACAAGGCCACATGTGGCCCTCTAGATCCTCAAGTGTGGCCCTTTGATTGAATCCAAACTTCACCCAACAAATCCCCTTAATAAAAGGATTTGTTCTATAAAACTTGGACTCCATCAAAAGGCCATACTCGAGCACTTAGAAGGCCACATGTGGCCTTGAGACCACAGGTTCCCCACCCCCTAGTCTAACCCATTCAGCTCCTGAACAACTGTAGACAGTTGAGGGTAAGGAAGTGGTCTCCAAAGGCTATTCAGTGCGTGCCTTCCTGTCTAGTGTGTGAGTAATGTGGGAATCTGGGGTGATGGGTTTCTTATTGGGTGGAAGAGTTTTCTGCCATATGGAATGAGAATCCAATGGAATTCTCATTGGGTCTATGATATTTCTTTGCCCCATAACCAGATCATGGCCCTAAAAGGAAAGGGATTAATCCAGGGCTTTATGGAGATGAGGAGGCAGGAGGCTGATATTTGTGAGATCAACTGTGATTGACTAGTCTGAGTGAGGGTTCTGAATCCTGGGGTTCCCACCCTACCTTGCTAAAATCAGAGAAACCCTCCTTTACTAATGTGTAACTGTAGACCTTCAGCAGCTGTTAAGATCTGCCCAGGTCTCCCCTTTCATTACGCCTTCTTTTCTTCCTCTGACATAGCTGGGCTCTCCCTGCTTATTATCCCTACTCTTGGGCTTCAGGCCAGGGCAGCTGCATCTGTGCCAGGTGAGATGGGAGTATCTGTGAGCCTCACCTTCAAAGGGTGGGAGAGGAATGCCAATGGAGTCATTTGTAATTGCCTGAGGCTGAGAGCTGGCAGGGGAGAGTCCTCTGGGCTCTTTCTACCCTATTTGGGCCGCTGTAATAGGGGAAGTCAGTTGTGGCCATTCTCTGTTGGGTAGTTAGTTGAAGGAGGAGAAGAGTCACTTTAGCCCTTTGGGACCTGAGCTAAGGAAGCATGTGTCTCTGTTACTGCAGTGTTTGCAGACCTTTGGGTATCCTTTCTTGGAAAATATCAGAAAAGATCTCCTTTCCTTTTATGGCCTCTTAAAAAAACCAGCTATTCCAGAGCCCAGGGAGGCAGATGGTACCTGGGTGAAAGGTGGCATTTTATAATGCAATAAACAGTCTGACTAAGAGTCTGAAATGGTGGATTTTAGTTTAGTTCTCCTAGCTAGGTGATCCTGAGCAAGGCATTGCGCTTTTCTCTTGGACTCAGTTTCCTCTTCTATAATGTGAGGTAATTAGATGTGATGCTCTACGGCTTCCTCTAGCCCTGGGATTCTGAGATCGCATGATACTCCTGGAAAAGAAAAGCAGGCAGTTCTTGGGCCTCTCCTCTTGCCTTGATTCATTTGTTCTTCCCTTTCCTGGTGTGGACAACAGCTACAGCTTATACTCTCTCACCTTCTGATGCTTCAGCTCTGTCCAGAGAAAACTTAGGAGAAGTGACAGGGAGTGAAGTAAGATGAACTCATAAAAACAACATACACAACTATATTGATGCAAATGGAAAAAAACCCCAGAATCAAAACCAAACCAAAACCTGAAACTAAACACCAAATGATTATGATGACTGAGAATCTTGGCCCTGGAGATCAGTGGTGAAAATGTACCTCCCTTCCTTCTTTTCAGGGGTAGAGGATGATGAGTGCAGAATATTGACTATTCACAAGATCATGAATCTGGAGATAGAATGGACCTCACAGACATTTAATCTGATTCCCTCATTTTTATAGATAAGGAAACTGAGGCCCAGAGAGGTTAAGTGACTTGTTTCAAGGCTACATAGGTAGGATTTGAATTCAGGTCCTCTAACTCTAGGATCAATGCTCTTTCCTTCATAACTCTGTCAGACATTGTTGCCTTTTTTTAGGGGTGATCCTCTTTTTAATTTTTTGTTACAATGGATGGCTTAATGGATAAGGATGAGAGGAGGAACACATTTGCAAATGAAGGTGACATGAAAGCAAAACATATTAGTAGAAATAAAATTTTTAAAAAAGAAAAATAAAGATCTACCTTTATCTTCAGATGAGTTCATCCTGCTTTGTCTAAGTGGGTACAGTGTGCCAATGTAGAGTTTGGAGGTCTTGTGAAGCACTCTAGAAATGATTGTATTAGTAGGAGACCTGAGGCAGGTGGGGACTACTACACAAAGTCATTGAATCATGGACTTTTCCAAGAAATCTAGCCCAACACTCTTTATTTTACAGATGAAGAGACTGAGGTCCATAGAGGTTAAATGACTGGTTACATAGACAGTGAGGAGCAGAGCTGGAATTTGAACCTGTGCTCTTTATTTGTCAAATGGCAGTGTTGTACTAGATGGCTTTAAGATGTTTTCCAGATCAAATCCTAGGATCCCATGCCCTCTTGGTGGGGGGTTGGGAGAGGTGGGGACTTTAGCTTTGAGGGGCTCCTTGGACAGGATGAACATTTAAACTTCTTTCTATAGGGGAGGTGCTCGCTTTCACTCAGTAGTTACCAAACAACTATGAAGCATCCTTTGGCTTCCTGCTTCCTAGTGTTCCCTGAGAGCAGCCTTGTGACTTCCTTTCAATTGCTCAGTTGATCAGTCATGTCTGACTCTTCATGACCCTATGGGACAACTATCCATGGGGTTTTCTTGGCAAAGGTATTGGAGTGGTTTGTCATCTCCTTCTCTAGCGGATCCTTTTGTCAGGCAATCAGAGATTAAGTGACTTCCCCTGAGTCACACAGCCAGGAAGTGTCAGAGGCTGGTTTTGAACTCAGGTCTTCCTGAATCCAGACCCAGTGCTCTATCCATTGAGCCACCAGCTGCCTCCTTTGTGGCTTCCACTAAAGACCTAATCCTCAGCTTGGAACTCAGTATTCTAGGTCAAGAGGAGGGAAGAGCCGTGGGAGAGTCTTAATGTGGAGCCTCCTGTATTTCATTGGAAGGACCTCAGAAAATGGTCTCCCACAGAAGAGTCATCAGGATCTGCCCTTGGTCATCTGAGTACTCCCTTGTTCTCACTACAAGGCATGCTGTCTGTCTTAGTTACTTACCCTTGATTCTGTATCTTGCACCTCCCCATCTGTACACGCTTTCTATTAACTCCAGAGCTAGTGGCCGTATATAGTTTCCTTAGAAGTGTGAGGTCGGCATGTCAGCACATGGGGTGCAAGCAGTTAGCCTAGGCTGTGATACACTGATGAAATTCAGTCAAATAGAAGAGCGGCTCCATTGCTGGTCCTCTGAGGCTTTCGGATTTTCATCTAACTCAGATTTAATATTCGAGGAGAATTTCTGTTCATTCCCCAGGTATATTACTAGACTTTGCCCCAACCTAACCAGGATTCTGCATGTTTGCTTTGTTTCTTTTGGGCTTGTAAAACTCTCCAGGAGAACATAAGCTCTCTGAGGACAGTGACTATTCTGTATCTTATCTTTGTCTCCCTTTGTCTATCGTGGCACCTTGCACATAGTAGGTGCTTAATAAATACTTGTTAGATTGGACTTGTTGGCTTTTCTCTCCCTCCCCCCTACTCTCTCCACTTTCCTCTTCCCTCCCAGGCCAGCTGGGCAATAAAGCTGCTGCCCCTGCTCTAGGCAATAAAGAAACAAGAGATAAGTGGAACTGAGTGTAATTAGCAACTTTGAATTCTTCTAAAAAAATGGGACACCCACCTACCAGGTGGAAGACTCAGCAGGATTAAATTATATATTTAAGTAAGTAATTAAGTAAGTATTAAATAAGTATTTTTTTTTTTTTTGGCTAGGCAATGGGGTTAAGTGACTTGCCCAGGGTCACACAGCTAGTAAGCGTTATGTGTCTGAGGCCAGATTTGAACTCAGGTCCTCCTGACTTCAGGGCCAGTGTTCCATCCACTGTGCCACCTAGCTGCCCCTTAAATAAGTATTAAAGAATGGAAGAACACGCATGGAGTTCAAGGACCAGGAGTCAGGGAGCAGCTGGAGTTGGAGGCTTTAATGTTTTACCTTGACAATTGGAGAAAAAGGACAGAGAGTTGGACAATCAAGTGGACCCATCATGCAATCACATAGAATACAAATCACATCTCCGAAGATTTAGAAAGAGCCTGCACTAGTGGCCCAGAGTGAGCTAACAACAGAGAAAACAACAAGAAAGAGGGAATTCAGAGGATCCCATCTCATTCTTCCAGCTTCACTTTGTAGCATCAATGATTACATCATCGCCATTCTTCTGGCTACCATAGCACCAGAATGTTGATGCCCATGGGGCTGGGGATAGTTGTAGAGTATAGAAAAGAGATTTTTCCACCTCTGGAGGGCTGTGGCACCTTAACAGACTTTGCTGCATTTGGTGACACTATCTTCTCCCCTCTGATAGAATGCAGCTCTGAAGGGAGGGACTGTTTTTGTCTTTGTCTTTGTCTTTGCAATTATATAAACTAGCAGTGCCTATAATGTATGATATAGGCCTTTTTTTTAAAAAAAAAATTCTCAAAGGATTTAATTACATTTCCTTCCCCTATAATACTGTGTGTGAGTGTGTGTGTGTGTGTGTGTGCATGTGTATGTGTGTGTGATGTTTCCAAATTAACATATATTTGAGAATCACTTGAGAATTCAATAATTTATAAAACATTCATTAGGCGGTTAAGTAGAATACATGAGACACCCTGAAAAGTGTGGAGGATACCAAGACAAGACTGAAACAGTCCTTACCTTCAAAGAGTTTACATTTTTAAAATGGATCCATTATATCCCACCAAGTGGGTGGAAACCTCTTAGGAGTCTACAAACCCAGGATTGAGAAGGATGATGTAGTAGAAAGAGGACTGGATTAGGAGTCAGAAAGCCAGGGGTTCTTGTCCTGGATTTTTTACTGACTATCTTTGCTTTTATGTGCTTCAGTTTTTTTCTCCATATAATGAAAGGGTTGGTCTTTCAGGTCCCTTTCAACTCTGCCGTTCTTTGGTTTTACAGAAGCACTGATCTGCTGCATCCCATTTTCCCACTGTTTGGGAGATACCGTGCTTATTTATAGAGATTGCTGAGATATAGTGAGAATCACTTTCCCAGAGAAAGACCGTGACCTGAATGATGATCAGAAACGCTTGCCAGGGCAAAGACATGAGAAAAACCAATAAGAACAGAGTCATAAACAGAACTTCACCATGATATGGATTATGACTTGGCTTTTTAATCTGTGGGTCATTTCTTTTGCCTCCAGATGTTGCCATAGCTGTGGAATTTTAGATCGATGGCTATTTACCCAGGCTAGGGAATGGACATTTCTCTTGGCATTTTTGAGGGACTGATTCCGTACACTTGACCTGAGATAGTTCCTGGCATTGTGGCTCCAGGACTTGGTCTTGGCAGGGTGGTGCACATGGGTCTTGGCACTGAGAGAGACTTGACTCTTGGCACTGCTGTGGACTTATTTCTTGGCATGGCTCCTGGCTCTGAGGGAGGCACGGTTCCTGGGCTTGCACTGGGCATTTTTCTTGGCATGGTGGTGGACAGGGCTCTGGAACTTGCACTGGGCACTTCTCTTGAGTTTTCTGAAGACAAGGAGGAGGCAGGCACGGCTGTTTACACTGCTGCTCACTAAAAGACATTTTGTCTGAAGCGCAGAAACCTGAAACAAATAAGAGTTGGCATTTTTCATGTTCGACCTACTGGTTGTAGAATAGGAGTGATATTGGTGGTGAGAGGAGGGAGCAGGGATTTGGTAGGTTTGGATTTTAGAAAAGGGAGCGACCACAGACAGAGAATGGAAAGAGGAATGACTCTGGAGTCAGTCAATCAACAAGCATTTATCGCGTGCGTCCATGTTTCGGGCGCCGTGCTCAGTATACAACGAAAGGCAAAACCAGGGTTCGTATCTCACTTACGATCTTTACCAGCACAACTTTATACGAGTCACTTGACTTCCCTTGGTCTCAGTTACTTCACCTGACTTGGTGGTCCCTAAAGTCCTTTCCAGCTCCAAGTTTATGATCCTAGTCTGATCCCACTCTCTTTCCCCGGTTTAGTGTTCAAAGACTCTGAAGAGCGTTGTTTCTCCGCCAGTTTCTGTGTCTGATCTTTTCTGTATCCTTGACCTTCCCCTCTCCTGTTTCCTTTTCTCCTCTTAGTTGGGGATGTTTCCCATAGCTTCAAGCCTGGATTTCCTTATACCCCAGCCTCCCAGGCTCCCCTGGAATGCTTTTTTTCTTTCCCTTTCTCTTTGAAGTCTTCTTTTTATCCTGGCACTATTTTTTCCTGGAAAAGTCAGGTGAGAGAGATTCCATTGCCTAGAATTGACACTGGCTTGTTAGGAGGAGCCAAGGGAGGATTGCAAATCATTTCGGAAATAATTAGAAAACAGGAGAAGCAGCAAGAGGATGGGGTGAAGGAGAAAAGAAGTGAATCATCCTTGGTCCTTGGGTTGTAGGTTCCTAGAGGGATTAAAAAAATCCAAGATAGGTATAGGCAAGAGAGCCAGCAAGTGAGGCCACCAGGCTCAGTTAGGGCATCTGGACTTACCCAATTCTCCTCCAAGTGAGGCAGAGTGAGGCCCGTTGAATGGATTGAGAAGGCAGTGGAGAGGAGGATTTTTATGCGGTCTTTGGCCAGCCTCCTGTCGGGCCATCGGGCCACGTGGGCTGAACCCCTAATTGTAGAGCTACGGCAGAGATCTGTCGATAACTGCCTAGGGGTTTGAATCATCGCTTGTGAAGCTTGTTAATCAGCCTCCCTTGCCAGGTCCTGGGCACACACCGGGACCTGAAAGGAAGGGATATTTCTGGACGCCCTTCCCCCACCCCTCAACCGTCGCCTTAGAGGTGATGGGAGAAGAAAGTCTGAAAGATGTTATCTTGTCCTCTTCAAACCCCAGGGTCTCTGGGTGCCTACGAGTCTTAGCAGGGGTTTGCGCAACTCACTGGGGCCATAAGGAAGAGATAAGATCTATCTCCTTCATCTTGTATATGCCAACATGAAGGGAGCCTCTGTGGCTTCTGAAGCCAAGGGTCTGTCTGGGAGATGGGCTGGGGGCCAAGAGGCTGCATAGCCTGTTTCAGAGCCTCCCACTCATGGAGGGACTGATTTATCTTACTGAACAACCCCACCCCTGGGGCCAACCCAGTGGTTTCAAGAAAATGAAGGCAAAAATGTTCTTGCAGAGAGCAAATGGTTTCCTAAAAGGAGGCTTTGGTGAAGACTAGGGGAGAGGTCAGGCTGGCTGAATATCCTTTTCTTTCCCTCTTCCTTCATCTTCACTAGTTAAGGGATTACTCATTGGTTTATTTCCATTGACACCCAGAAAGGTGGGTGGAATGAGGTAAGACTTCTTGAAAGACTTCTTCAAGTCAATAGAAGTCTGGGGGGATGAAAGGGAGAGTGTTGAAAGAAACACACTTTGGGTGGCTGATCCTTGAATTCTTCCCTCTTCCCTGACTCCTCCAGTTAAAATCCTGTTCATCCTTACCACCTGCTACAAGAAAGCCTCCTGTGATCCCACCACTAGAAGACTTTGTCCTCCTCTGATCCCTTTCCCGTAGTATTTATGATTTGTACCATTCACATGGCACAGTCCAATGCCAAATAGGATCATAGATTTAGAGCTATAAAGGACCATCTAGTGCAACTACCCATTTTACAGATGACACAGCTGAAGACCAGAGATCCTACAACTTGATTTAGATCACACAGACAGCAAAATGGAAGAGCTGGGGTTTAAATCCAATTCCTCTAATTCTAAATCCAGTTTTCTTTCCATTGTACCACACTGCCTTGAGTGTATATTTATGGTTATTTGCATAAAATATTTTCTCTCAACTTACCGGATTATAACCTTTTTGAGGACAGAGATTGCATTTTGTATAACTTTGTATCTTCACAGTGTCTAGTGTAGGTCTTCATACAGAGTGAGTACTCGATAAGTATTGTTCAATATACATACAAAGCATTGTTGTTGTGTCATTTCAGTTGTGTCTGACTCTTAGTGACCTCATTTGGGGTTTTCTTGGCAAAGATACTGGAGTGGTTTGCCATTTCCTTCTCCAGCTCATTTGACAGATGAGGAAACTGAGGCAAACAAGGTGAAGTGACTTGTCCAGGATCACACCGCTAGCAGGTGTCTGAGGTCAGATTTGAACTCAGGCAGATGAGTCTTCCTGACTCTCTCCACTGCATTGCACTGCACTGCACCACCTGATTGTTCACAAAGCACTGGAAGAGATCCAGATTTTAGTTAAGACATACTTCCTACCCTCTAGGAGCTTACAGTCTAGTAAAGTATATGGCACCCAGATAACTATAATAGATAACTTTGCACAACAAGTATGTAAAAGGTGTAAGCAGAGTTTGAAGTAAGGTCTTAGGGGTTCAGCCCACATGGTCTGATGGCCAGGCAGGAAGCTGGCCAAAGACTGCCACTAATGGGGAAATCAGGGAAGGCTTTATCAATCCATAAGAATTTATTAAGCACCTATGGTAAGCTAGGCACCATGCTAGATGCTAGAGATGCAAGTACAAAGAATGAAATGTCTAATAGGCAATTGGTGATGGAAAACTGAAGCTCATAGGAGAGACAGGCTGGAGATTCACACATACGTATTTATGACTCTTCATAGAGCAGGTAGGATTGGAGCTGTGCTTGAAAAGATGAGTAGGAATTTAACAGTCCCAATGGCAAGGAGAAAGCATTAGTAAGGGACAGGGTTAAGAAAATGTGGTGTGAGGCTGGAAGATAATTAATAGCCCATTTTGGGGGAATTGCATATTATTTGGGGGGGGGATTAATGTGAGATAAGACTGGAAGGATAGAGTGGCACCAGCTTGGAGGGTTTCAAATGGCAGATTAAGGAATTTGAACTTTCTTGATTGGGAGAAGAGGAGCAAAACGACTTTTTCTCAGCATGAAGATTAGTTCAGCCTGCATGAAGGATGGGCTGACAGGGGGAGAACTGAAGTGAGAATAACCCAGGCAGACGGTAACAAAGGCTTTTTGGAGGGATGGGCAGATGCTGCCGAGAGATTCTGGTGACTGATTGAAACTCACATCCATGACTGGGTATAAGAGTCGAGGGGAGGGAAAGACTCAGATAAAGCCCCAGATTTGCAAACATGGGAGACTGGAGGAGTAGCAGATTTTTGGGAAGGTTAGCTTGGTTTTGACCATGGTGATTTCAAGCTGTCAGCAGAACATACAGGTAAAAATGTTCCGTAGGTGGTTGGAGAGACAGTTTTGGAGAGATGATCTGAGGAAATATGGAGTCAGGAGGACAGGGCTGGAGATGGGTTGCCATTTGAGTCAAGAGGATAGCTAAAGCCGTGGGTATGAGTTTGCCTAGGGAGAGAGTTTGGATGCAGGGGTGGGGGAGAGAAGAGGATTGAGGACAGAATCTTGGTGGGCACCCACATTAGGGATCAGGGAGAAGGTGCAAAGCCAAATAATCACAAACAAGCAATTATTAAGTGCTTACTGCATACATGCCAGGCATTGTGCTAAACACTGGGAATGAAAAGAAAAAGCAAAAACAATTCTTGCCTTCAAAAAACTTACATTCTAATGAGAGACAACATGTACATAAATAGGTACATATATATTCCTACAAAAGCCAGTGAAAAGACATCAATTATATAAAATACTTTGGAGAGAGATCAATTAGGATGAAGAGGGGAAAAAAGACCATTAGATTTAGTAATTAAAGAAGTTACTGGTGATCTCTGTGAAAGTAATTTCACAGGAGGGGTGGGAATATAAGACAAAGCATTGACAATGTGATGGATAACTGGAGGAATTGTGCATAAGCTATTTTTTCAAGGACTTTTCCCTGAAGAGGATAATAGAGTTGCGATTAGGTAAATGAGGTAAAAGAGTCAAAGGAAGCATTTTAAAAAATGGGACAATCTAGGTATCTATATAGGGAACTGGGAAGAAACCATTTGAAGAAAGAGAAACAGATGTGTGTGTGAGAGAAGAAAATTGTGGGAGGGAGGTCCTGGAGGAGGCTGAAGGGCATGGGATTAAGGGAACAGGTAGAGTAAACAAATAAAAGTGGATGAATTGAAGAGGTCATGGAGAAGGGTTTGTTTGAATGGGAAAGGAGGAGAAAATAGCTCAATGGGAAAGGAAATTCAAATCTGTAAAATTACTAAGAGGATGTAGAGGGTGACAACCAAATCTTGCAATGCTAGGAGAAGGATGCCCCCATTGAAACTTTAGGAAAAGCATTTAGGCTGAATGAAAAGAAATGACATTGGATTTAGTAGAAAGAAAACAGATGGGACTTATTACTCTGAAAGGTTATATAGGCTTTGGACAAATTCATGGGATCATAAATTTAGATATCTCAGAGGCTATCAATTCCAACTGCTCTCATTTTATGCTATAGTATAGAGTGATGAAAGGGGAATCCGGAAAAAGTGCTATAGGAAAATCTGAGGAAGAAGAGAGTATTTCTACCTGAGGGGCTTAGAGGTCTTTCCTTCCTTCCTTCCTTCCTTCCTTCCTTCCTTCCTTCCTTCCTTCCTTCCTTCCTTCCTTCCTTCCTTCCTTCCTCCCTCCCTTCCTTCCTCCCTTCCTTCCTTCCTTCCCTTTGTCTTTCTTTCTCTTTCCTTCTTCCCTCTCCCTCCCTCCTTCTTTCCTTTTCTTCTCCTTTCCTCTTTCTTTCTTTCTTTCTTTCTTTCTTTCTTTCTTTCTTTCTTTCTTTCTTTCTTT